CATTTACTTTATGTTCCTAAATATACATGCCAATTCCGAATGTTTCAGTCTCAAAATGATTTTTCATCAGCATAACAATTGATTACAACAAGATCATGGAGTTCATATTCGTGATCTTTTGTGACCACAAATGTGGAAAACCGTGAAGAACTATGTCACAACATGTGAAACTTGCTCTTGATCCAAGATTCTTTGTCATCGACTAAAGGCTTTACTTCAATCAATGTTAATTTCAGAAATTCCATGGACATCCATATCCATATGAAACCTACTGTAGATCTAAGTTCCCAGTTTACTTCAACCATTGTGGATTTTTAAAAATCCATGGACATCAATATCCGTGGACTGCATTGTGAATATTCCAAAGTCCAAATCTTTAAATAAAGTTTTTTGTTGTGGCGGACTACTTGACAAAGATGTTGCACTTGGTGCCTTGTAAAAGACCATCACTGAAAAGAAGTCACAAATTCTTTTAAAAAATATGTCAAACTATCACTAAGATCTCGCCGACATCATCTCTGATCATGATGCGCCTAAGTTTTGGCAATTTTGTTCAAGATCTTACAAGTGAAGATAAATTTATCATTGGCATATGATCCTTGTACGGATGAACAAATGCAACAAATGAATCAAGTATTGAAGCAATATTTTAAGGTGCTTCATTTAAAAACCATCAAAAAATTGAATAGATTTAATTCTAGTCCACAATAATACATTTTCTCCGTATCAAACTTATGATTGTGGCATCAAACTTCAAGATGATGCAGAGTCTTTCTTTGGTCCAATCTACAACCTCTTCTAGAATAAGCTTGATGCATTGGGAGATATTCTTGATGAAAATCTGTCAAATAACTTCATTTGATATTCCAAGTCACTTGCAAGAGCTCCTACACTAATTAACAAAAAAACAACTTCATTTAGATTTGCGTAAACTAAACAAAATCACAAACAAGAACCACAAAATCAGAAAATAAAAAAATCAACAAACGAATTAAATACTAGAGCAGTTCTTTAGGTGCTTCATAAAAACCATCAAAAAAAATTGATGTATCCATTTCTAGTCGTAGAGTTTGTGCACAACAAAATATTTCAAGAGTTCATACACCAAATCCCGTTCCTTGCAAACTAATAATATCATCCACAATTTGACTATTTGAACTTGATTTTGGCAAAAAAATCTGGTTGACCAAGATCTGATCCCCAGACTTTTAGAGATCTAAAAAGACATGAAGGTAAAATATGTAGAAGCTGAAGAGCATCAGAGGAAAAATGCAGACAAATTTCAAGAGCAAACTTTCAACATGTTTGTTGGAGACAAAGTTTTACTTTTGCGTAACAATTTGAAGACTTGCAATTGGAAGCAACAAATTTAACTATTGTCGTTTTGAACCTTTTTGGTTAGAGTTGTCATCATCTATGAAAATTCATTTCTTGTTTCATGCTTCCTTGTTTGAATTATGTAAAAAAAAAACTATTCCAAGAGGTTCTTTATCACCTTCCCTACATTACTTCTCCAGAGCAAGGTATTTACTTGATGTAACCCCTTCGGAAGCTAAATAGCTTATTAGGATCTTTTAAGTTTTGTTTTATCCGATAGAACCCCACCGACGGTACACGTCACGCATGTTGTAGAATCAACAAACGATGGAGGCAATGAAACATTGCTTCCATTGAAACTGTGTCGAAGTAATCACAACTCTTGACTTTAGTAATCTAGTGAAGCTTTGTCGCAACATCTAACTTATTGAGTTCTATAACAGCGATCGCGCCTCTCGACGTCAGACATAGAGCGTCTTGACTTTGGATGTAATGCTCAAATTTACAGCAAAAATTTGTTCCTTGCTTTAGCTCAAAATTTCTTCACTAAGTATGCATCAAGATTGCTCAGTAGATCAAAATTACTTCACTAATATTTCATAATAGATTGAATGTTTTCTTGACAAATTTCTGATGGATTCAAAATCTTATTCAACTTGTACGATTATTAGTCTAACATTGCTAAAACTCATAAACACTTATGCTAGAAATAGTAGTTGGAGCATTACGTTGAATTTTTGGGAGAAACAAGTACACAAAAGCTCGCATCACTTATTAAAACTTCGCAACGGTGTGACATTGGTGGGATACCATCGGATTAAAGGAAACTTGATGGATAACATCAAGCAATTTAGATTCCGATGGGATCTTATCAAATAAATATCTCTCCATAGGGTACAACAACGAAGGTAAATGAGATAAATATAGCGGACAACTAATCTGGTAGGGAATTTGAGTTTGCTAACAAAGAGTCAGCCCATAACTCAAGTTAAATCCTAGTTACTACTTCTAGTTTTGGAGGTTTGAGTGCTATTTAATGAATGCGAATTAACCTAAGCTACATCCAATAACATGTTAAACCTTTGGTTTTAGCACCATGACACTTGATATGCGTATTACAATACTTTATGTTAAATCATTGCTATATAAACCAATAGAATGTATGAAGTCAACGGGAAAAAAAAAGTTAAGTTTCGAATATTTCTAGGGGTAACCCGACGAAGTCTGATACTGTGAGTGGATAATGGTAAAATCAATTTGAAATGAAGATGAGTAATTTTGGTATGGCTTCGCTACTCGAAGGGCATTACCGGTGGATGATTGGATTTCATGAGCTTCAGACCATTCATATGGAAAGATTACTGCTCGTTGGGAAGCAATATAACTGGCATCCGCAGATATATGTGAAGTTGCACATAGAGAAGCAATACCACGTTCGGAATTGTCACCATGTTTTAGCCACCAATCGAGAGTTTCCGACCTCCCTCGAGGTTTCCTTCATCTCTGGTTGTCGTCTGAGCATCCGTAAGCTCTCAGTGAGTTCAAAGCAGGGTTCGATGCTACCCACCAGATCATGATGGAGGCGGAACGAGAGAGAGGTTCATGCGCTGGTCCGCATCCAAATTTGGATACAGCTCCGGGTGAAGAAGGATCATGAACACCACGTATTGGACCGAAATCTTCCGTCTCCGCACACTCCGTGCCTGTGGTAGGTTTCTCAGGAACATTCTTGCGGCAGATATGCTCAATGTTCAGAATCTTCGTGATACTAGATCTTTTGGGTTACGAACTAAATAGCTATATACAGAAGAGTAGGGACATATCAACCTCTATGGTGTCTACATCCCCTAAACGAGCTCCGTTACTTTACATCTATGACAATCAACTTGACGAAGATTTTCAGAAGTTTCTACACTGATAGTGGATCCCAAAACTCAAATTACTGCTAGGGCTAGTGTAGGCTCTTGTAATGCTTTACGGATATTGATTCAACTCGTAACATACTTTTTCGATTTGCTCCGTTCACATTTTATTCCCGCATTTTGCATTGGCTCAGCCATCTGCAAATTGGGTGTCTTCGGTTTTCCTCTCCAATTATCGAGTAGTAGTCAATGACATCAATACGTCCCGAGTATCATGTTATCATCTGTGCATTTGGCACTTTGATTCTATTGCGACAAGATACTTCATTTGCAAAGTCATATTCTAGACATGGCCTCTCACCCCGTGATATGTGACTAGGTCCACAAGAGTATATCTTGGAACTTTATCCACATCATCACTCTGCTAGATAATTACAGCAGTGACCTGTTGGTAACTTTCCAATCTAGAGTCTCGTAGTCATAGCAATTGCTTTGAGTATAACACATGTCATCATCATGACGGAAGTCTCATAGCACTACAATGTGAGCGAAATGTGCAGGAGAACTCAATATACTAGATGACAGGAGAAATCATTCTATTGTATGATACACTTTATGCAATTCGTATCCATTATTTTACATATCCTACATTAGTTCATTATTTGTTGCATGCTCATGTAGTATGTTGACCGTGCCACATGGGATATCTTTGTTGCAGTATTTTATAACTCAGTGTGATCTAGCCCCATCTTACTGCCTTTGTATTCATCCCTTAACACTTCTTCCCATTCTTTCTGCTGCATTACTTCGTTTCCCTTGCAATGATAGCATCACCCAAAAGACTCATAGGTAGTTGTGAAACTTTTCGGTCTGTTGCTAATCTCCAGAGAAAGCCCGAGAAGAAGGAAGAACACCGAAGAAATAGGAAGTGTTCCCATCACCTTCTACGGGATGATGACGTTGTGGTTCCGTTGCCAGAAACTTTTGGATGCATCTGGTCATGCAATGGTTCTGCGCTCCCTGTCTCAATCAGGAGTGAACGGACCATGCACCATCTCTCTGTCTCCTGGCAGCAATATGTCGACATGGCAGCTGATCACGAAGCATGCGGATACTAAAAATGGCAATCTCCGGGCTCCTTCTCGCGAAGTACCAACAAACGGCCAGGGAGGGTTTTAAGTCGGACAGTTAAACGACTGCAAGACAGCGACTTCTGCTCGCTTCTAGTTACCAAAGGTTGTAAAAGACAATCAGAATGGAGCTTAAATTGTTCGCATTCGTCGACTTTGTTTTGACCTGAAACTTCGCACATGCTTTTGTTTCTGTTTTCAAAGTCGACTGTGGGTCTTTCCGATTCCGTTGTCCTTTACTGAAAGCTCGGGCACTAACCACACCAGCAAGCAATAATTATGTGGAGAGCTCAACTGCACAATTTAACTAACTGTCGGCAGTACAGGTATTTTGTTTCATAAGGTATTACCGTGATTTTTCGGTCCTCTGAATTAGATCCATATCTCTGTAATCATTTACAAAGTTAGTGGAGACATAGATTACCTTAAGCCTCAAGCATAAGTCCCCAATTTGCGGGATTTGTGAGGGTACGGTAAAGCCTCGAAAGTACGAACAGTAAATGAGAACAGCGAGGAGCAGGGTTGACGTGGTGTTGATAAATTAAAGCTCACCGAAATGAAAGTTTTTGGATCATAGCTTGGGAGCGACTTTTTCCCGAAGGAACCTGTTAACTTGGGCTGTTCGCTCACTAGCAGAAGTTGGTTCTCCCATGGCGGTTATTTTATTCTTCACTCCTTGACCATGAGGTCTCCATTTTGCATGAGGCCCTATGAATTTTGTTCTGTTGTCCAACATTGCACTTTGGTCACATATGCATGTATTTTTGTCCTCCCGTGCGTTACCTATCTCTACTCAAGGGCTCGTTTGCCAATCAACCGGGAAGAAGACAATGGACGACTTGAATAGTCTCACGTGACGTGTGCCCATCCCCGGCAGTTTCCAGTTCAGTTTCCTTCTTCCAATGAATCGTCCGCTAGTCCGAAAATTTAGCCCTGGGAAATTGCTGTGTATATATAACTGATCACACCGTCCATCTCTCAATTGTTGGTTTTCCAGACAGTAAATTCCGATTCAATCATCTTTTGGTGAGTTTGTTTGGTTCTCATAGCTGCATGCTGCTGTGCTTGCCTTGTTAGTTTTTGGAGATCCGTCGTGTGCAAGAATCCTACCTGGATGGTATACACGCTGCCAATTCTGATCGGATCAGTGGGTTATTTGCAGTTCGACAGACTTCAAAGTAACGAGAAAATGTCGAGGGCTGTTGTTCCCACAGCAACGAGCGGTGACCCCGTAGAGCTGTACAAGTTGGTGACGAAGGATATTCCTAAAGCTGGTCCAGGAAATGTCGTTGTTCGAATGACCCTCCGCCCTGTGAACCCCACAGACTCGCTCGTGATTCAGTGGGGCTTGTGGGAACATCTCGACCTCGACCAGCTTGTTATTGGTTCTGAGGGGACCGGACTCGTCTACGAGGTATTTCTCTTGTACATGCAGATAGCATTTCTGTACAGAGTTGTGCAGATTGAGTCCTTTGCATGCAGTGGTTGCAAGATTCATGGACGTTTCCTTTAAGGTTCGATGTAATTGGTCTGTCGATTATGCATGGATAAATTCAATGTCTCTTCGCTGGACGACTGCAGTTGGGAGAGGGAGTGACCAACTTCAAGAAAGGACAGAGGGTTATTCCACTCATTTCCACACGATACTATCCCGAAGGATTTGGGGTCTGGAGAGACTATGTCGAGATGCCCGCCAAGGACCTTGTTGCTGTTCCTGATGATATCCCAGATGAGTTTGCGGCTCAGTTCTTCGTCAATCCATGGGCTCTGTACCAAATGTTGAAGAAGCTGAACACTCCAAAAGGAGAGTACATCATTCAAGGAGCAGCGGCCTCAGTCCTGGGAAGGTATGTGGACGTTTTCAACTGGTGGTGATAATTTGTAGCACTAGTGTACTGGAGGTTTTATTCTGCCTCTGCACGGGAATCAAAGTTTCGAGAGGTTAAATTTGAACTTTTAAGTGAGAGGTCCGGGTCCAGACTGTGAATCTACACCCCATTATTCCTTCGATCATATAATGACTATATTTTGCGCATGAAGACGGAGGCGATGTGATGTTCATCTGATAACAGCTGAAAATACAGGAATGTTTTACTTTGATCTTCGTCGGAGACTGATCGGATATGTTCTGCATGTGTCTCCTATTTGTTCCACAGGCAAGTGATTACTCTGGCAAAGCATTGGGGTGTTAAGACTATCAACATCGTGCGGAGAGATTCACATATTCAGGAATTGAAGGACATCGGAGCCGACTATGTTTTGAATTCTGAGACAGAAGACATTCCTGCCAAGGTGAATGAAATCACGGGAGGAAAGAAAGCTTATGGAGCTTTGGATCCGGTACTTGGTGAGATGACGAAGATTTTGTGCGCAAGTGTACGAAACGGCGGTGAAGTTCTGGCCTACGGTGCGCTGTCAGGCAATGAACTCAAGTTGGATGTTAAGGATCTGATGAGGGGTGTGGACTTGAAATTCTTCCTGGTGAACGGACTCCTCGAGAGAGAAGAGACCACGAAGGAGATTTTCGAACTCATGAGGCAGAAGGTGCTTGCGCCTCTGTCAGGAAAGAAATTTGCCCTGGAGGAATTTAGGGAAGCTATCATTGAAGGCAACAAGCCAGGTCGGGGCGGGAAGGTTTTCTTGGAAAGCTACGACAATTAATTTTATAATGTGGCGTTTACTTGCAGCTATTCTGGTAAAAGTTTTGTTTGTTTAGTCAGTAGAAATTTAGAAGCCATTGAGTTCTGTTTAGATGCATTCGTGAATATTGTATAGCAGGAAGCTCAGTTTCTATCGGTAAAGGAGGGGTCGTGCTAGAATTATATGTTTCCGAATAAAGCGTACTCGAAAGCTGCTTGTCCTGAGCAACAATACGTTCAGCTGGGCGAAGTTAATAGAGAAATTTTCTAGAATGATTTTCTTGTTCGGAAATTTAATACATCAAGCAATTATTGCAGACAATTGTCAAATTTTAGATGTTTCTTTTCACCAGCGTGGAACCTTCGCTTGAGCCAATTTAATGGCAGAAATTCCAGTTTAGCCGAATGATTTGAATGGGTTGTTGAACTGCGTTTAAGAGCAATCGACCGTGAGGAAACTGATATATAGTAGACGAATTACACGTAGCTTAAAAGTATCTGTCATGCTTCGTATATGCTCACAATGTCATTCTCTAGTTACATCGAAGACCATACATCACTATGATAAAGCTTAAAGCAATGAATGTTGCAAAATATGGAGTTTACTTTGCAGGTAGATTTAAAAACTGCTTGTTGCCATCCCCCATGATTAATCCAGAATCGGCTATCAAGCATTCAATTTTTAGATTTTCTACTAAATTTAATAATACAGAGAAAAAGTACTGCTGTACGGTAGGTGACAAGTGAACTGAGGAAGAATATATCAACAGATGCTTGATTGTTTATCAAAAGTCGATACTTCAAATTCATAAACTTGCATTTCTATCCACTGCCGCAGTGGAAGAAATGGTCATCGCTGACGCCTTGATGGCGATTATATAAGTAAAAGAATTCGCACCGTTAAAACTACAAATCGGCCTCTATGATAGGGGGTCTCGAGAACACAGCAGCGCGAGTCTGAAAGAATGATTTTGACTTTATACGCCTGGCATTCTACTATATCGTAATGTACAATTGGTTTCTTCCTACAATGCCTTCTGTTATGGATACACCCTCACATTTTTGAAGTTTATTGTACTGCTACTGGTACCGTTGGCCTTCTGATGGGTTTTCTCTCATAGAGATCTGTTCTCTGCTCTTCCCTTTATGGGAAAAAAACTTTGAGTTCCGAGTGGGACTAAACAGTGCGCGTGTGGGAGAAGAAAGGTAAACGAATGTCTCATACAAGACGAGTGAATCGGAGTGCAGAGAAGGATTGCATAGTATTGCACAGTGCTCCAAATCCTGAGACCAAATACCATACACTTCTTCCACTTGATAATCTCCTGATGATGTTGGAATTCGTTGATGAGTACTGATCTCTCTCTCTCTCTCTCTCTTCTCATAAAGAAGGAGAGACTAGAATGCCAAGTTTGAAGTGAAGGGGTCATAAAAGTGAAGTCATTGTATCGCACATGAACATTTCGTTGGAAGTCTGCTTTGATATTTTGGAGTGGATCATCACTTGATTGGTGCCGAAGACTTAGTCTGGCACAACCATCCGAGTCTCAAACGATGTTATGCAAACCTGGGAACCCAAACAATCCGAAGCGACTACGGAGAAAACTTGCCTGACTCGATTCTACAATACTTCTCACATTACATTTTATCTCATCGTTCCAAGAGGATCTTATCCGCAGGAAAGATGAGATCCTTTTGGAAGAGAAAGAAGTAACGAAGTTTTAAATTCTCATGATTGGATTTCCCTTTAAGAGTCCCGTCCATTTCAATGATCGCCACGTCCTGCTCTCCACCCTCCTGCTTCTCGAACGCCAAGTCGTTGTCGTCCTTGTTCATTCGCAATTCACGGAGGAAGAATTCAATGAAGAACTGTGTCTGCCCACGTCTGCCTACCTTCGGAGCCTCGAGAACACCTACCGACTGACTGTGTTCAGGAGGATTTCTCTTCACAGCAAAGCTCAATGTCACCCATCACCAGGCCTTCTTAATTTCGGGATCTTCCGAAATTACCGAAAATAAGCTAATTTCGGTGCCATCTCAAAGTTATTTTCGGGAAATTAGGAATATGGGAAATAAAGCTTTATTTCATTAGATAGAGCTTGTAGATGCTTCCACTGTTTAAAATGCATTATTCCTTTAAGGGAGAAGTCCGTTAAATAGTTTCTATATTCATACTTTTCCCACCCAAATACAGAAGGATCAAACTCAACATAGATACTATTAGTAAACACTGTGGCAATCCCACCAGAGAATTGCTCCAGAAACCAAATTCACTTTCATTGCATGTGTTCAAACGTCTTTAAATGCGACCTACTCGAGGTAAACTCACTTCAACTTGGCAAAATCCTCATCTATCTCTTTCATTTGTTCATCATTGTACGGCTACTTCAAATGTTACTTCTCTGAACAAAGAGTACTTGAAAAGCTCTCATATCAACCTTGAAGAGATGAAAAGGTAAGACATGAACCAACTCTTTACCAACTTCATTAGTAGAATCATGCTCAGCCATGATTGATGAAATTCCATTTGCGTGCTCAACAATAATTTTTGCAACAGTGACAACTAATCAAGAGACATCTATCTCTGGTAAGTGAGCAGTAGTGTCAAACATCCATGCTGTTTTGAAAAGCACAAGCATGACAATATCTAAGCACAAACTTGCCACATATTTCAATTGTCAATGAATCGAATTGATTGTTCTCTTCCTCAGTCAATAAATCCTTCATTCCACTCATTCAGCAATGTGTTTCCACTAGAGCCAATAGATGACAATGTTGTTAAGATAACAAAGTATTGAGTACTTGTAAGAAGACAAACACGGAGCTCACTTCTTCAATAAAAACATTCAGAGCAAATAGAAACATCCACTCAAAGGGGGATTGCACGCATGCTGCTTTTCGTCCAGATATTGTCAAATTCGCACGTGAATCCCGCACAACCATCTTGAGACTTTTGCCATTGACAGCGAGCGAGTGCTGACCTCTTTTGGACATGTTGCTCTCATCTCAATGACTAGGTTTTGCTAACAACGCAAATATCCAATCAGTGCAGTCAATATTGAACAAAATTCTTTGTACAACTCTGTTTGAAAGAAGATCTGCATCTTGAAATCTAGTTGATATAGTTTGCACCAGACTCAAACGATGCATAACTTGGCAACTTACTCAATTCCAATTGCTAGCCCGCGAGGTTTCGCATTGGGATTCATGTGGCGATGATGGTACCAAGTAAAATTTTAACTCTTCCAAATTACTCTTGCTCTTCAATGTTTTATTCTTGTTTCGCAAAGATCAATTGACAACCTTATGTCATTTCTCTCTATAATAAAAATAAGTCTCACGTTTGATTCTTGAGTATTGAATTATTAATTTATCTTCAAACTCCACCTTAAATTCTCTTGTACTGGAATGTTAAAATATTATACCATCCGAGCCTTGAGACACTTTGAATAAGCTAATCTTCTAATCTACTTAATCACTCATTTTCCAATAAAGTCAAAACCATTCAAAATACCTTTTTCAATAATGCTGTATACTTGAAAAAAATTACGAATAAAAGAATTGTAAAGTTTTGATCCATTTTCTTGGTTTGTAACCCTTAAAGTTACATAATGTTATCTCTAGAAGTGATATCTCAATAAAATGTTGGTTGACACATAGATTATCTTTCAATACACAATTGTACAAAATTTCAAAATCTAATTTGAAATATAGAAAAAGTAATCAACTTTATAAAAACTTTCCAGAGATTAAACTTGCAATACCCGTGAAAACCCCATCAACTTCTAATACTCATATCTTTCTTTTAACACATGAATCAAAACTGAAACAAAAACCAAAATTTTTTTAACTTTTCACTCGACAATCAATAAAAACCTTCAAAAATACTTTTTTGATCTCTAGTACCATTTTTCTCTCAGATTGACGTACTTACATGAACAAACATACAAAATCAACTTTAGATTATCATGTATGGACAAAAGTAATTTCATTCTCAAGCATCTTTTTTGTTCTTTCACTTGTCAACGTTAATTCAAAATGACCAGTCATGGACATTTTCTCTCAAGCTAGAAATCGAATCTTACACATTCTGCTTTCTAGATTAAAGTTCCAGGAACGAAATAATGCAAAACTCCAAGCTGTTTCACATTAAAATTTATTTCAGATGGCTTTTCGGTAGATCATCATAGTACTAGAAGACTAATATTATTCCTCATACCCACGTACTAAGCACACTCTCATACAATTAAATATATTGGCACGTCAAGATAATGAAAATCACACGCTTTCATTGATGAAACAAATCTCTACAAAATGAACTCTCCAAATTTTTCTTGAGAGTCTTTTCCATATCTCTCTATATATATATTATTTGAGAAGTTATCATAATAACAAATGGTTATTTTTATCTAACTTACTTAATAAATATAAACCGTCATAAGTTTGACTAGTTATCAATACGTGACAACATAACATTGACCTATCTGAATACTCTAGAAATTTTTCTATTCCAAGTTTGAGGTGACAATGTGACGATAGTCATACAAAATTCTAGAATTTTTCATTAACACTAAGTCAACATTGATATTAGTGTAATCAATGATATTCCATACACTCAAATCAAATCTTATAATCAAGTTTTTTTTGCTTGGAATCTTAATTTTTGTAAAAGACAAAATAAAAATGCTCATTATAATCCTCTAGAGTTTCTCTAATTATTTTTCAAAGTATAGATGTTTTAGCTAAGTTTAATCATGACTAGATAAATTTAATTATAAATAACTAAACTTAGTGAAAACTAGTTAAACTTAGCTATGTCTAGTATAATCATACTCACTGTTTGGTTATTTCTAAAACTATAACATACATACAATAACCAGTATTATATGATCATAGTTTGCGCTTATTCCAACTTCATCAATTGTTGTTGACGAGATTTGATGAACTCCATATTACTTGTATTCTTCAACTTTTTTTGAATTGTCATGAAGATTAGTAAAATTAAAGTATATGGTAAGTTTGATTCAACTCCATACATCATCAAAAAAGTGAGTATGGTGTGTATGTCATCTATATCGTATGATATTTTCACAAAATATCTTGTCCCAATTCTATTTGCTTCCGACTATTTCTCCATCTTTGACCAACATTATACAAAGTGTATGATTAATTCTCTTCGTCAATCTATTATCATTGTACTTGTAGGAAGTGATCATTCTAGTGTTGATTGAAAAATGTTCTAACATGATTTGAATTGTAATTTTTACAAACTTATCTTCTCTGTCAGATACCAATTTCAATAAACAGCCAAATTTAATTATGATATTTTCACACAAAGATCTATCTTCAGAGTATAATTTTTTTTCTTCTCAATATTAGATTTCAGTAGTCTAATCTCTACTCATTTGGTAAAATAATCAATATTTATCACAATGAACTTATTTTCACAAGTATTAAAATTTATTTATCATAATAATTTTACTAAGATTAGATATCAAAACAACTACAAAATTTATTTTCCATTCTCAAAGTAACTAAAATTAAAACTAAATCAAAGTAATATTTTCATACATTTCTTAACAAAAATTTGCCAGACATAATTAATATTGTAAAATTTTATATAATTTTTGAAAATATACATTCAATAATAGTTAACACCAAAAATTTAAAAAATAATTAAACTCTTTGCAAAATGTACTTCACGCATTGAAGACTCATGAAACTTTTCATGAGTTTTAGTGATATTCTCTACTATGTTATGACACACTGCAATTGTTGTGACGACATTGAACCGTGTGATGTGAACCGGGAAAGTATTGATGGAACTTGTAATTATTGTACCGCGTAAGTACGTGGTTGAACCATGAAGACCCAGGATCTCGTCTTCTTTACCACGTCCTGTGACTCCATTCTTCCGCCGTCGCTTTTCTGTATAAATCTTTACATAGTGCGGCGTAAGAAATCCACGAGACAATATAACCAGTTCTCCAATGAGATTTTTGGGAAATTTCTCCGGTTCAGAAATAAATAGGTAGTTGGGCGTTGCTATTTGCCTTTGTTATATTTAATTTAGGTTATTTTGTAAGGTATGGGCGTTTTATGCTCGGACATTCAAGTTGTTATTAATGTTCTCATCACTCGATTTCAGATGTGTCAATGTCGTCATTTCCCACCGATCACAGAAGTAGGTGACTGATTATCTCCCACCCAGGTCAGAGTGTCGATCCATGTTCATCTGTCCCACTGATGATGTGGACAATGTACTGGGAAGCTTATGTGTCAGGTATTTGGAAGAAAGTCGATTCTAATGAGATCAGCCCAGATTTAATAATCTGCTGTATATGGCTCGATATGGGAATTCTCCAGCAATTCTATGTGGGTGTTTACAATTCACTCCTCGTCTATGATACTCAGTTCCCCTTTCGGAGTATTTCCAGATATCTTCGAGACAGTCCCGATGATGCAGTTCAAGCAATCTTGTGGTAGTTGGTTTCAGAGACAATTGGTGGAGAGTACTGTCCTACTAGCACTGCGGATTTTAAGAAAATTCCGTTGCTTCAACAAAGAAAGAAACTCACACGGTTTCTCGTAGACAGAAAGTACCTGAAGAATGTTTGAACCAATTAATAATGCCTGCAGTTTCTTGAGAGTGAACCAAGATCAGATCTAACTGCCGATGAAGTCTGTTTTCAGGAGCAGACAGTAGATAGAGACCAAATAAGCTGCTATTTAGATTGCTGTTAGCCTTCACATTCACTGTTCAAATTGCGAGCGGGTAGCAAAGAGTCAGCCAGAAACTGCAGCTGAGATCTGCGCATGCTCGCGATTATGGAACCAAACATTCTGCTCATAGAAGGACTTGAAATCCGCACTAGTTTTACGTTTGACGTATCAGCATGCTAAAACCATGCCATCTGAATTTTGAGTAAGTTTTGTCCTGGCGTGAAGGTATAACCTGAGTGGGCTGTTTCATCAATGTTGGCCGGAGATTTCTCACCATCGACATCTTTGAGAGGTACGGCTGTAGTCAACGTCCCACAAAGCAGAAATCCCTATCATAATATGAACATTAAGCATGTTATTGAAACTACTTTCAGGATCGCACTGAAGAATTATGTGAAACGCCAGTTGATGTATTTGGATTGCACAAGTATACTCAATCTGACGTCCAGTGTAGCAAAGACACATAGGACTACAGTGGGGAGTCATATAAAACTTATTAGTCAGTACATTTTCTCACTGATAGATCATTTCTTCTCTCCTTCAGCATCAAACTTGAATAATTCATAGCAGCTCTTCGATATATGTCATCTCATAATGCGAATCAACGAAAAAGGAGGTACACCACCCTTCATCAAGAAGGAAAATACTTTATTACAATCCAAAATATATTTCAAATAGGTCCAAACCCTCGCACCGATTAATACACAGTTGGCAACTAAAATAGACCTGAAAATGGTGTGATCCCATTTTGTACAGATCTTCACACCGATCGCCAAACTAAAGCTGCTGAGTAGCTAGGCAAATGAACCTAACCCTTCGACACTATCTACTGAATGCAATTAGTACCTAACTTATTTTGCGCTACCTACCACACTACTAGTGAAAGCTGTAAAACAACATATGCATCAAGAGACTAATCTCTTGATCCATTAGCAGGATACTAGACATGCCTGACCGGAGGGCCTTGAAAACTGAAACGAGAGCTGCATCAGAAGTTGACCTCACTCTCCTCTTCCCATCCGAGTCAAACATCACACAAGGTCGTCCCTGATCTCGCCTTGCAGTTACCAACACTCAAACATATCAATTACTGGAACTTGCAAGTGCCCTTGCCAAATTTTTAACCATCATAACTCCCAGTCGACATTTTCGATCTCAAGTCTCATGTATTCTGCCGACGGCACGCTAAAAATGTATCGCAAGCATGACAAATGCCTCCATATCTCTGTTCGTACCACGTGATCGAACTGGATTTCCTTAGCTTCTCGCTCTCATCTTTATCAAGTGTTTCAACCTAGAAACCACATTACTGAATGAAGGCCGAATTGTGGAATCACTCGACCAGCAAGCTTCGGTGAGCTCAACGTACTGTATGTCGACTTCTTCCGGCATATCCAACCTGCGATCCAGCATTCCAACAGCACCTACGACCTCCAGAATGCTCATCTCGCCCCATGGAATCTTCCTCGTAGCGAGCTCCCACAGAATGATCCCGAAGCTGTACACGTCCGACTTTTCAGAATATGGCTCGTCGCGAAGCACCTCGGGGGCCATCCACTGAGCAGTACCCTTGTCAGAATTTCGAGTCAGATATCTGGAGCTCTTGAGTCGTGAGAGGCCAAAGTCGCCAACCTTCACCCTCCAGTGCTCAGTTACTAGAAGATTGGAAGACTTCAGATCCCGGTGTAGAATGGGTGGGGACCGGTTGTGCAGATAGTTCATTCCCAGTGCAATATCGAGGGCCATGGCGAGCCGCCGGTTCCAGCTCAGTCCTTGTCCACTGCGGTGAAGGATCCGGAATAGACTTCCTCGCGGGACGAACTCCGTGACGATGGACATGTGCCTAGGCTCCGTGATTGCCCCCATGAAGAGGAGCACGTTCGGATGACGCATTGCTTTCATTATGGAAACTTCTTGTCGAAACTCGTCAAGCACCTCCGGACAATAAGCTTGTCCAGAAAACAGCTTCACCGCTACATCTGATCCCAGCCAAGTAGCACGGTACACGGTTCCGCAGGACCCTTCACCGATCCGTGCTCCGAATCTTATCTCTCTCCATGGAATCTCGAAGCCTGCAAGCGGCATTTGGTCCGGTTCTGGTCCCTGGCTTGAAGCTGAACTGCCTGGCAAGTTGAAATTCTGGCTGCTGCTGCTGCTAGCATTGTTGACGTGAGACCAACTGTGGACAGGAGTGAAGTGTTGGATTGTTTCTCTCCTCCGACCAGAAGCCATTTGGTCCACTTTGAGATCAGAAGCAAGGACCAAAGATGTGGAGGCATTCTCCGTCACATTCCGAACAGAAACTACGCTTTGGTCCACTTTGAGATCAGAAGCAAGGACCAAAGATGTGGAAGCATTCTCCGTCACATTCCGAACAGAAACTACGCTTTGGTCCACTTTGAGATCAGAAGCAAGGACCAAAGATGTGGAGGCATTCTCCGTCACATTCCGAACAGAAACTACGCTTTGGTCCACTTTGAGATCAGAAGCAAGGACCAAAGATGTGGAGGCATTCTCCGTCACATTCCGAAAAGAAACAACACTTTGGTCCACTTTGAGATCAGAAGCAAGGACCAAAGATGTGGAGGCATTCTCCGTCACATTCCGAACAGAAGCTACGGTATTCTGTGATTCAGAAAGTTTGTGGCCTTCTCTTTCTGGGTCGCTCATGCCAATGTGACCAGAATATCCCCTTGGAGGCAGTTCCGGTACTGGCTGCATTGGTGCCTTACCAGCACGTCGAATGTACTCTTTTGGTTGATCAATCAAGTACTGGTAGGAGTCGAGTCGGCTGCAGATTGCAATAATGCCGAACAATTCACCCTTGTCACTGATCAAAGGCGAAGCGCAGACCGCTCCGGTGAAATCTTCTCCACCAGATGTTCTTAGAGGAAATCGGCCTGACCACGAAATTCCACTCTTGGTTCTCTCGCAGATCTGGACAGCATAGTCGTGATTATCATTATTGCACAGGAGGTCCACAGCGCTCTGTCCGACCGCTTGCTCTGCGGAGTACCCAAACAGCCGCTCTGCCATGGGATTCCAGTAGGTGATTTGTCCGGAGACCGATATCACGTGAAGAGATCGTCCCATACACTGCAGGATGAGTTTATCCATGAAGCTTGACGTAGGCACCAAACTTGCTAAGGACTGTTCCTGTTCATTCATGATCTCAGATTGTCGAAGCAAAGCCTCCATGAGGCCCGTGGAGTCTGAACCGTTCCCCCCACCGGCTCCGAACACCTCCTGTACTTGGTTCCTCATCGCATTGCTGCTTTCACCCCACGCCATCGGCAGCAGTGTCAAGTTCTTGATGCTGGCTTTTGTATGAGGAAACTTCAGATTTGACAATTGAAGTCGAAACAATATTTGCTTCACAGTGGCCTTCTTCTCATTCACTGGAATTCTAGGCGTCATGTCTTAGCTGCCTACAGATCATAAACATGAGACGCGACCGGAAGTCTTCATTTCTTCCAGCCGACGCACTATCGTACTCTCTACAGTTCTAAGAGATATGATCTCGAAACAGTTCTTAGAGCTATGATCTCTAAACGTTTGTCAACCGTATCATAGTAGTCCTTGTATCATCTACTCTGATGGTCTGGTCTCTGCTTTCCTCAAACTAAGACAAGAACATGATGCAGAAAGGAGAGAAATGAGAGAATGAAAACTATGAGACAACGAATCATATTATATGCAAACGAAGCAGGACCAGAATTCAGACATCTACTCTGATGGTCTGGTCTATGGTTACCTCAAACTAAGACAAGAACCTGATGCATAAAGGAGAGAAAGGAGAGAATGAAAACGAGGAGACAAGGAATCATGTTATATGCAAACGAAGCAGGACCAGAATTCAGACATCGTTCTTTCCATGCTCTCTCAGACCGAGCCGTACATCACAAGATTCTTCTTTCCAAGAATGAAGAAAGAAAGACGAAAACGTAGAGAATCAAACCATATCCAGTAGCAAAGATACAGAACAAGAGTTCAGACCCCATCTTTCCATAGTCCTCTGTCAGACCAACCTGTACATCACAATATCAGTCTATACTTAGTACGAGCACGAGGGTGAATGAACCATACAGTTGTTCAGATCATGATGACAGAGCATGTAGGTTGGAGATGAAATGCAGTCTCTCGATAGTTGTTAAGTTACTCTGAAGAAGAAACGTTCGCGACCGCATCCTAACGACTGGTTGAGATGATCTACACGTATGATGAGATTCAAGCTTTTTCGGGCTGCCGTGTAGTAAAATCCGTCCTACTCACGGTGACTCTGTGAAACTAGACGTTCAGTAGTGTGTGTCGAACATACTTTCAGCGAGGCACTGTAAATCATAAGAGGTAACTGAAAATCGGGGTAGTGATGGAAATGCTTGACCAGTGTACGTGGGTTGACTCTAGGTCAAACCACGTACACTGGTCAAGCATTTCCATCCACGCCACAAACCTAAGGAAGTCAAAATCTCATTCTTTCCTTGCACAGGATCCAGTCAAACTGACTTCACTATGTACACCATAAGTTCTGATTCGAAGCAAACAAGTATAAGTCTAGACTTTAGTATGTTGAAGACTGCAGCATCCACTTACTCATCCTACATCACATGCTATTGCTGTAATAACCCACTAAAGGCTAAAACTGCAATATAGTGGTAGAAAGGTCGAACCCACAGGGACAGAGGAACACACAGGGTACAAAGTGTCACGTTTAACAGACTATTGAGGAGTTTGAATTCTCAGGCGACTGTCACTCCCAGAAATACTGCAAGTGTCCACTGGGAGCGCACTCGGAGGTCGCACAGTGCAGCGTAACACACACACACACCTGAAACTATAGAAACACAACCCAGAGATCCGTTAGGACCTCTACTCAAGATTTCAGGGGGGGAAAAGTCTCTCGAGAGTACACTCAGCGAAGCTGCGGGTAGTGACTCCCAACTCCGGCTTTTACAACACTTCCGCTAGCTTGCTGCTAGCGTAGGAAACCCGGTTTGGACTGCCTACTTCGGATCGAAGTCACTCAGACGTGGTGAACAACACTCTCAACTCACAAAACGCGCAGAGAACACAGGTCTGCACTGAAGGACTCACTGAGAAACATTCCATTAACACAATAACAGTCTATTGAAGAGTTTGAATTCTCAGGCACTTGTCATTCCCAGAAATACTACAGGGGTTACCTTGAAGGCACCTGCTGCAGCGTAACCTGAATTTACAACCAAGGTTTACACGAAGTAGCAAAACTTCACTTTGGCATTCAGGGGAAAAATCCCGAAGGAGTACAATCAGAAACAAACACTCGAAGGTGTAGGGGCGAAACTGTTCAAGTATCTAACTAGTCACTGGCTCTGAGCATCGGCAGTCACCCGCAGGTGCAGATCCGAACTACTCAAGTCTCTAACCAATGTACTAGCTCTGAACATTCGGCCGAAGGCCTTCAGCTACAAAATGCGGAACGCTAAGTTGTAACTCCTCTTGCGTGGTGACAGAACTTAAGGACACAAACACGCAGAGAAAATGGGTTCCTGATCTGCACTTCTGAGTTTGGGAAAGAACCCAAGGCAAAACGCCTTGAACTATTTTATACCTTCTAAGTCCTAACTAGCACTACACTGCACTACGCTACACGCCTGTACGGAACCACGCTACACTACACTCCGCGGAACCGGTGCTATGTCTCCTGCGCGACGGATTGCCGCGCACTAACTCCCTACCCTGCCAGTCTTCCGCTGGACTGCGCAGTCCCAACCGCTGCAACGCCGCGGACACCTCCACCTCGAGGGTGGACATGGTATCCCGCGCCTTCGACAGAAAAGCGTCGAGCTTCTTCGCCACCTTCCGCCGACTCCTGCTGTCGCCTGCCAACAACCCTGCTGCGCGAAGTTCAAACTCACGCAGTATGAGTTTCTCCTGCGCCGCCACTTCCCAGTGGGCGTAGCCCTTGAGACAGTGGGCGACAAGCCTCGCCGTCTCCTCCTTCGTGCGATCTGCCTCTCGCCTGCGATCCTCTTCAATTACCACTAACTGCGATTCGGCCTTCGCACGCTGCGCTCTCAATTCGCCACACTCTGACTGTAGCCTGCGGATTAAATCCTCATCCGCCTGCCGTGCGAGCTGACACTCCGCCAACAAACGCGTCTGTCGCACGAGCTCTTCTGACAGAATCTGATTCTGAGTTTTCTCAGACATCAAATCCTGCGTGGTCTGCACCACATCCCTGGTGAGCTCTTCCAATCTCTCCTTCCGCATCCTGTCGAGGGCGTGCAATTTCCTCTCAAGGTTGTACTGCCCCCATAAACAGGCATGCTTCTCCCTCAATTCCTTCAACTCCTGGTCCACCCTAGCTAGTAGCTTGCTGGTGTGGACTTTAGTGCGAGTCCGCCTGCGCACTAATTCGATGTAAGATCCCGGCTGAAGTGGATCGGCGTATTTATCGAATTTGCGATCCAAGTACTTCAGCAACGATATCACCTGCTCAGAGAGCGCCGCCGCCGGCGCTCCAACAATTTCCTCCTCCTCCTCCTCGGTATCCCCTGCTCCCGACATTGCTTCGGTGGAGCCTCCGTCGTCATCATCCGAGTTGAAGATTTCAGTCGCCATTGATTGCGTTGGCGACTGTCCCGAGTGGGGCTGCACGTCGTCGACGTGTGCTGCCTGCGAAGGCACCGTTGCAGCATCGCTGCTCTTCGCCAAAATGTCTTAGGCGGTGGGCGAATGTGGCCGTGCTACATCCCCGTCGCCCGCTTGTTGGTCTTCTACCGTATCCTCTCTGCCGCCGACGTCCGCCGCCGAAGGCGATCGAGCGGAGGGTGTCTGCGCGGGGTTTGATTGCGCATCGCGCACTGAAATTTCGTCCCGCGAACAGTCAATCCGCTCCTCTGTCAGGTGCTTCTCCCTCGATCGATCCTTCGCGGGGGCTGTGCCTGGCCTTTGCGCAGGCGCAAATGCCGGCGCCTTGTCCGCCGCAGGCGCAGCACCGAAGGCGTCTATCGCCAAAGGCGATATAGCCGGGGGCCGCTCGCCCGATGTCCCTTGGCCCGTAGGCCCTACCGCCAAAGGCGCTTCTACCGGCGGATTACCCGCCGATGGTGCGGCCTCCGCACGCTCCCTGCTCGCATCTCCTCGGCCCGAAGGCCCTGGCGCCGAAGGCGCAAATCGCGGCGCGTTGTGCGCCGGAGGGTCTGGCCCCGAAGGTCTGTGTCTCGTAGGCGGATCTTCCGCCGGCTCCTTCCCCTTCCTACGTTGGAACGAGGGTGATTCTTGCCTGTGCACAGGCGAGCGCCTGTGCACAGGCGGACTGCTTCTTCCCACGCGTAGGCGTAGGTCCACGTCCGCTTGTGGTCGCCGATCCGTCGAGGCTCGCCTGTGCGCAGGCGGAACACCTGTCCGCAACGCACGTGGTAACTCTGGAGGCGCTTGGCCCGTAGGCGGCCTCTCGTCCGTCGAGGGTGCAGCGTGGTCCGTTGCTCCTGCAGACGTCCGCGCTCCCTCATTCTTCTCTGGCGACGCACTTCCTTTCTCCGTCGCAATCGTCGCCGTGTCCGCGCTGCTGGCTGGTAACACAAGCCTATGCGCCTTCTGCTTCGGCCGGCTGTACGATTCGTACAACGGCCGCGGTCGAATGGGAGCAGTGGGTTCTTGATGTTGCTCCTCTTCGGACTCCTCTCTCCATCGCCGCTTCCGCGGCACTCTTGCTGCAAGAGTATTTCTCTCTTCGTCTCTCCGCCTTGACGGAGTAGAAGTCGGTGACTCCTCTGCATCAGTGTCGACCTCATTCTCCCGCACATACCTCCCGGGATGGTCGACGGACAACGGCGGAAAACGAGCAAGCTCCGCCGCGGTCAAACAATTTCGCTGTCGATAAAAATTGATGAGGAAAGGAGAGAGATGATTTAGAGTTCCCCCCTTCTCCTCAAAAGCGTGCTGTCGCATCACCCTGTGCAGGATGCTCGCCCAGTGAATTGGAGTTCCCTCGATGATGCACTCCACAAAAGAGACCTACCACAATGTGATGTAGCAGGCGCGGTGTGGCTGCAGTAATTGCAGCAGCGCCGTAGCCAAAGTTTGGCGGAATCGATCCTTGTAATCGTGGGTCTTGTACCCATTCTTGGTAGACTTCCCCCGCTTAAACAGCTCCACAAATTGCGCCTCTTCCTGCTTGGACACCTTGACGCTCTCACTATCGAAGAGGAGGTGCCCTGGGATGCCGGCACATCTCCCCAATGCCTGCGCCCAATCTTGGACCGTCCATCGATCAACATGCGGCCGCAATCCGCGCGTAGGTGGTCCCTGTGGCTCTAGCCACTCGCGCACCATATCCACACAGATGTAGTTCCATCCCCATAGCAAGAAATCGAGCTTTCTTGCTATTAGGCGCTCCTCGAAAGCGCGCAGCCCGTTCTGTGGTAGTCGGAGCGGCAGCATCCGCAATCGGCCCAGTCTCGTCATTGCGTTCTTGGCGTTCGCCTGCTTGCTAATTCTCCTTCCGCTCCGCTCGAGCTCCTTTCTTCCTCGGCAAACTCTAATCTCCCTCAATTCCAAATCACGCGCACTCACTTCTCCCTCAATTACCAAGAAATCCTCTGCGCGGCGATGTCGAGAATGCTTAGCAGCCAGCAGGTGGACGCGCGCAGCTCGCACTAGAGAATGGAATCGCGAATTCAAGAATGGGGCGCTCTCCGTCTCCCGGTCGAAGGTCATGGTCGGCTCTTGCTCGTGAAGGACGACTCAATTGATGGCCGCGCCGGCTCTACGCTAAAACGGTCTCCGCTCTCACGCGCGGCTTCACGCTCCGCCGTCGCCGATTTAACTCTCACGCTCGAATTGACGAATTTGAACTCCGCGAGCGTACTACGCCGCGGACACGGGTGTGCAGCGCCGAAGGCGGATTTTCCGCCTTGCGCGGTACACTCGTTCGTACCGCTCCTCAGCCAATCCTCCTCTGCCTCGGCGCGTGTGTCCGCATGTCGGACAAAAGTTCAACTCCCGCCTGCGCGCAGGCGGATTCTCCGCCGGCGCGG